CCCGCAATCAAACTTCCACCTACACTATCAACAGACTATAACAATGGTACTCCCCTCATGATCCAGCTTCTATATAAGCTCCATTTGCTGATCGTTATCGCGCAGGCAGAGGCAATAGGAGCAGCGGCCAGCATCATCGGCATCATCGGCGCGGCATTGACTGTCATCCAAGAGATCCGAAATGCGCGGGGCAGGGTCCGGGGTACATCTGAGACGCTGGATAATATGTCCAAGCACCTGGATGCTATCGTTGAGTCGCTTAGCCTCGTTCGCGACGAAGACAGGCTGCAAACGGCCAGGGTCGAACTACAAGTGAAGGCCATTACCAATATTACCGCCGAGCTTAGATCATTCCTGGATAGCCTTGCTGCCAGGCAACGAGAGAAGACCATGTCACAGTTCTTCTACGCGCTTAAATCGGGCGACAAGGACGACAAAAAGCTGCAAGGCATCCTGGACCAGCTTGACCGGGCTCGCAGTGAGCTCGGGTTGCGGATCTCCGTGGCGCAAGTCGGCTTGGTGGGAAGTCTTCAAGACGGCTTTCGAGTTGCATTTGGCGTTCTCGAACAGATAAACACTAGGGTCAACAAAGTGCTCGGGATCAACTTGGCTCTTATGGATATTGTAAAGAACCAAGCGCTGCAGCAGACAGGTCAGACAGGTATATTAATCGTCGTACGGAATAGACATACTGACGAGATTTAACAGTGGATGGAACCGTGCCGGTCCGCACTTCTGATGTGCTAACGATCGGAATGTCTGGTCGCGACGACACGCCGAGCATGAGCAGCTCTAGCGAGGTGAGGGAAACAAACATTTATGGCAATGTGACACTTGGACAGGCCCGAATTATGACGGGCAATATTGGGGTAGAAGGCTGGCAGAGAACGGCGGGTCGTAAGACGACGATTGCTAACAACCAGTTCGACCGCGACGTCCAAATCATGACTGGTGACATGGGAGGGGAGGCGGCGAAGGGCTTTAACGATTCGTTCTGGAAGTAAGGTTGTTCAGAGTACACGTTCGAGCATTACTATTCGTCCAAAAGTCACATTGAAATCTACGTTATCCCCCGTCTTGCTGGGCTAAACTCGAAAGCTGTCGTGACGAGGGCTTGGCCTATTGCTACTAGACAATTCCATCCGGGATTATCAGCATCGATTGCCTGGCCTACTCACAACAGCATCTTTCCTCGTGAGAAGCTGCCGAACTAAATGTGCGGATAGGTTAAAGTCATTCAATCTAAAATTTGACAGTTCCCTGAAGTACGCCATACCCTTTATTGAAAATGGGCTGAAGTGTGGCTGACTGAGCAGTTTATACTGTATCCGTCATCCTATCATCCTAGCACCTTGTCCCACCTTGATGAGCAACATCTGGCCTTATGCCTCAGGCTCACATACTCACGCAAGCAACGGTAGTCCGGGACCCCCCACTTCTTGGCTTTCTCACTTTTCCTTCTTTTCTCTCGTTCCCAACATCCAGGAGTCACATTCTGGCTCATCACTTGGTTGCAATACAAAATGCCCCCCCGACTAGCTTCGGACAAGAAGGATCAGATCCGGACTATGCTATTTAAAGGCCGATCGATTAGTGAGATTGCCAAAGCCATTCCTTGCAGCGAACGAGCCGTCTACCGAACCCAAGCAACCATACGACGGTTCGGTACGGCAACCGCTCCTAGCAATCGTGCCGGGCCCGATCCCAAAATAACCCCTCTCATGCGAGATACACTCTGTAGAGAGCTAGTCAAGAAGCCAGACATGCTGAGACGTGAGATGATCGCTTTTCTCCAAAAGCGCTTTGACGTAGACGTTTCGCCCACGCGCATCACTCGAACCCTGCAAACCTTGCAGTGGACCCGTAAGAACACACGCCGCGTAGCGAGACAGCGAAACCCGCAGCTGCGACACTACTACCAGTACAGACTGAAGTTGGGCGGGTATCGATCGTATTATCTCATCTTCCTTGATGAATCTGGCTTAGACAGAAGCATCGGAATTCGACGAAAGGGATGGGCGCCCAAGGGGGCTACTCCTATGTAGATTGCTTGCTTCCAACGAGAGGAGAGGTTCCAGGTCCTGGCTGCCTACACACAGAGGGGCATCAAGCTGTCGCGGGTGTATCGCGGGTCGACTAATACTGCGACGTTTGTTGACTTTGTCGCTCAGCTCCTGCGTCACTGTGGGAGGTGGCCGGAGCCCGAGTCTGTGCTGGTCATGGATAACGCTAGCATTCACTGTTCAGATGAGATCAAGCCAATGTGTGACGAGGCTGGTGTGAAACTGGAAATGACAGCACCCTACACGCCCGACACTAACCCGATTGAAGAGTACTTTGCTGAGATGAAGGGTTATGTGAGGCAGCGGTGGGATGAGCACATCAGCCTCATCCAGAAAGATTTCGGATCCTATGTCAGGTCGTGCGTGCAAGCTGTTGGTCAACGACAGGCGAGCGCTGAGGGACACTTTCGTAACGCAGGGCTCGCCGTTGAGCAAGCTCCATAGAGGCAAGAAGCACGAGATAGTGGGCACTACGCTAGATATTTGTTCGTAGTTGACGCTAGAGCGAAAGAAATAACGTGTGAGGCATAAATTATGAGAGATAAAATAAAACACGATCATCATTCTGCTACCCTAGACCTTCCTCAATCCAACGTGGTACATTATTGATGAACGAAAGCGCGACCCCTAACTGAACGCTTCTGTCGATGTAAAACTCAGCACTTACTTCAGTATGCACATGCCTAAGATCGAGGCATGCCTTTCGTGTGATTTTGTAGGCACATCGAATGTTTTGCTGCCAACGGGGGCTATCCACTTGATCCTGCTGCCATTCGTGGTACCTTTCTAGGGCCTTATTTCTCTGCATAGGGATGACAAGGTCGATCGGTCGCTGCCGAGACGCCACCGATCCCTGCGCTTCTCCCCACACTTCAGCATTGGACTCGTTAATAATCTCACCCTGATGCTGACCAGGATGACCAGGACAGGTGACGTTAATATTGATTGCAGACGAACTGTCAGATCTCTTACGCTTTAGCCTTCTTCGCTCCGAGCTCTCCTCTTCATGCTTGTAGATCACCTGGCGGATTTTTTTAGGCACGTCATCGTGTGTCCTCAGCAGATTTCCTTCCTCAGCGAAGTCAACAAGCATGCTCAGTATGTTAGTATCGAGCTTGTAGTGCTTCTTGCTCTCTGGATCACGGCAGCAATAGAACTGCGGGTTTACGCAAGGGACACCAGTGCAGTGCAGGAGCTCATACACCTCTTTCCACACAGGACGAGAGCCCGTCGACTCTTCCTGATCAGCAAGTAGTTGGTCTCTGGCGATGAGCTGTCGGCCTGTAGCTCCACGACCGCGACTCTGGGTAGTTGCAGCTGCCGGCTGAATGACCTCTTTGTAAACAAAAGAGATATAAATCCTTAGCTTATTACCTTCGCGAAAGAGAGGGGCCCAGCCTCTCAGCTTATCTTCTATCGTCTTCCAGTCAACGGCGAGACCATCAAATCGCTTTCTCATGTTACGTTCGCTACGTTTCTCTACGCTCACAATAACGGTTGTCTCATCGGGCTCGTATCTCGGCTCGGGAAGTTTGTTCTTCACAGTCGCTGCTAATTCGACGCTAAGAAACTTGTCCCAGTAGGCGCCGGGGGCAAGGCTGAGGTTCTCTTCTGTGATCTCGACCAACTTGGACAGTCTGCCCTTCTTGAGCTGCAGCTTCCACTCGATATCGTAATGAACACACGTTGGATCGTCCTCGTCGTCTCGAAAGTTGGGATCCCAATCACTTAGCCCTAGCAATGGCAGGCGTCTGTCTTGAAAGGGGCTACCAGAAGCGGCGCACGGAGTTTCACAGGTTCGAAATGGCGGAGTTCGCCCATGAAGGTCAAGCTCTTCATCAAAAGAGAAGGGGCTATCGTTAGCATGGCGAAGATAGTAATCGGGTCTATGCACGTCAGGCGAGAAGGAACGTCGAGGAGGCGAACGCATGGCGACGGCCGGCAGATAGAGAGTGAGGAGGGTAATCGAGGGGCAACCAGGTGGTGGGCAAGCCATTGCCAACAAAGAACAAAGGACACGTTTCCCTCACGGCTGCCTAGAACACGTGACCATAAGCTTATCAGCACGATGAAATGTTCAGATTTTAATTTGGGACAACAGCAATGTAGAATCTTGTGGGAAAACATTGCAATGGCAAATATGTTGAACTTGTTTTATTACTGATGTTGGTTGTACCTGACGATCCGTCGGATGGTATAGTATACGGTATGTTACGCTAGGAAGTGAAGGCGAACAAGATCCAATATGACGTGTTGGCGTATAATCACGTGAGCGGCTCAGGCAAGGACTGTTGGCATTTCAGCCGGGTCTTGTACCATACTAATTTACATTGATTTCTCCCGTAATTACTGCCTATAAAACAAACGGGTGATTTTCTTCTACTTATTCATTGTAACATATCAATAAATGCTGGTCTTACAACTTCATAGAATACATAATGATCAAAACTTAAATATAAATATTGAACCGGTTACGCTAAACTGTAGTGCGTTCTGTTGAACCGGGTAGGTGGGATTAGCAGACATCCAACCTATTGTCTTGAATAACTCTATTCTGTCTAACCTCTTGCTGTCTTGGGTCGATGCCTTGGCCTTATTCTATTTGAGATTGGTTTTATCGAGAGGCTCTTTTGCCCGGGCAGGCACATCTTGAATAAGAATAGCGTGAAACACCAGCGTAAAATGAGGCAGGGCAGAATGATCAGGACACATCAAAACACACGATCGGTAGACAACTGGCCATCAGCTGGTTGAACAGAAACCAATAGATTAAACCTCTAAAATCTTACCAACTTTCCAACTAAGATTAATCGGCCCTAATGTTGTCCTCCAATTTAGCAGAGAGGCCAACGCGACTATCGGGCATTGCCAAAATTAATCCGGGTGTTGTTGCCAAATATATTGTTATGAAGGCTGCGTTGTTCTTGTTGTGAATGTTGGCTTGGTTTCTGTCGAACCCTCCTCTTGTAGTAGCACCAACCACCGAAAAGTAGACACAAAAGAAATATTCCTCCAACTACAACGCCGATGATAATCTTCGTGCTTTCAGGTAAGCCGGGGCTTGGAGCACCGGATGGGTCACCAGATCTTGTGGGAGTGCTCGGTGTCGAGATATCTGGAGACGGACCTGTTTCTGTATTACCTATTAGCAAATTCTAGCCTCCCAGAAATCCACAAGGCATGAATGCTTTAACCTTTGACACTTGGCAGGGGACGTACACGCTCTACACCGCAAAAGGTAGTATATGCATCTGCAGCAAAGCGCCCCCAATTTGGCGAATCCGGACAGATCTCCAAGGCTCTCTCAACAACAAATGCCACTATACGATCGATCTGATTATCGCTGCAAAAGCATTCTTGATCAGTACAGTCGGATAATTCGACGGCTGACATTTGTTGGCCAGAGCAAGGATTGTCCTGAACACCAGCTAATGGGCATTTCGAACAATCGCTCTTAAGATTACGATATTCCTCGGAGTTTCGAACGAGAAGCTCAAGGTCCGATGACGTTGCCAAAGTGACAAAGGCAGGAATAAACATGATAAAGTATCTCAAGAAGGTAGCACATCTGACCATGATATCGGTTGTTCGGGTAGTCAAGTAGTCTCTGAGGGATGGCAGGAGTAGCTAAGTAAGGAAGGGGCATGCACGGAGAAGCGGGCTGTCGT